ACCAGTAAAGTCAAAACAAATGTTGTTTTGGTTTACTTAAGTTTCATATTCAGTGACAGCTAATACTGATGAGTTAGATAGAATTACCTATAATGCAAGGGACGCATTTTCAAACATTTTCCATCAAGAAACACATCCTGGACATATTATTTTTGGGATAAAACACAAGGCGTTTTAAACAAGACGAGATTAGAATCTGTATGAATCTTTAAATGTATGATATGGACTACAATTACATTGTTTAACAGAAGTATCATTGTCTTAGTATGTGAAATTGATCTTAAAGCATATCAGTATCTAGAACCCAAAAGGGAATTAGACTGTAGACCAAGTTTAAAAACTAGTCACTTCGCTTTATCGAGCAACGGAGTCAATGCCTCTCTTCCCACACCTTGGCATGTGCGACCTTGTTCAGTTTGAGTATACCGCTGCCTGAACTGTACGCTTGCACTCGAAGGGAGGCTGGGAACTGCATATGTGTGTGGTGTGTTGAAAGCAAGTGAGGGCGTGCTATGCTCCTGCATGCACTGCACTGTAGGTGAACGTGTGGGATTTAGCTGTTCGGAGGCCAACTATGAGAGCGTGTGTGGAGAATGAAAGCGTTTAAGGCAGCATTAGAACATTTTAGTTTTTGTAGGTGTATGTAAAAAGCTTTATTTGGATTGTGCTCCGCCAGGTTGATGCGAGTGTCTTCCTTAATTGCGGATATTTAATATTTATTAACATGTCAGTCTCGGGTACTGTAGGCAGCTCAGCATCTGTCCCCTGAGGCAGACGATATTAACAGTTGAAGTGGGAAGCAACATGTTAGACACATCAAATATGTATTTAATTGTTAATTAAGCGTTGTGGGGGAGGAGTGAAGTTTGACTTAGCAAGGCTGAGCAGATGAAGATGCCATTACACTGTTGTGAAGACCGTGGAAGAGAGGAGGATATGCATCCACTGAAGCACACACTTTGTCTAGCTTCAAGACAGTGTTTATTATCATAGCAGTTACCTCTGAGCCACAGACATTCAGATTTCTTTTGGCATTGGTGTGCGCTTCTTTCCCTGCCAACCTGTTTCTTTGTTGCATCTTTTCAATCAGAAATTAGGCTGTTGCTCCTCTGAGGCAGGACAAAATATTTAATAAATGCCGATTAAAAAGTATTATCTTTCACTAATAAAGTCTTACTATGAACAGATAAATTGATAACATAAAAAATGTATGAAAGGTTTTTGTCCTCCACAGAGGAAGCAATTGAAATTCTTGGAGGACTTCGGTGGCAGTACATCATGTCTCAGTATAAATAAGTTTAGTCAGCAGTGGTATTGAACTGTACAGTTAATATTACAGGGTTTTTTAAACAGTACTTTATTTCTGAAAAAAAGTCTGAAATCTTGAGCCAGCATCTCTTTACCACGCTGATCAAATTATGGTCTGACTGCTTGGATTCTGCCTGGTGCTAACTAACTAACCTGAGATGTGACTGACGGTTTGATCCTGGGTTTTAAACTACAGAGGTTGTGTCTTTGGCTTTGACAGTGCACCCACAAGAAAAGAAGACGAGGACAGATTCTTACCACATTGTTGCTGTTTCTCTTTCCTCTCGGACATCTTTAATGCTGGATTTCCCTCTGTTTTTCCTCTCTAGTTGTGAAGTTCGACAGGGGCCTGGCTGTGTTCTGACACTTTGCTGCTGTCCTTGTCTATTCCCTTAATCTGTTCTGCTTTCTACCTTCATCTGAGTATATCTAACTTCCTGTTTTTGTCTTCCACAGGTCAGGCTGGCTTTCTCACAATGAGGCATGAGTGCATTTGTTAATGGAGCTGTTATGATCATTATATATGATTATATACATATTACATACGATCATGTGTGATCATATGTATAAATGGGATGGAGCCACATATGTTATTATGAAATGTGATCTGCCTGCAAAGTGAAGGCACTTTCAATTGCTGCTGCTGTAAATGCTGAGTTAAACCACTCTTCTGGCAGATCAGAGCCCAGGACAGCCTAATGTTAGTTACGAGAAAGAGCTGCATCAAGGATAAGACAGTGAGTGTGTGTGTGTCTTTTGTGTGTATTTGTGTATGTATGAATGTAATGTTTGTGCCTGGGCTGCAGTGATCAGCCATGCTCAGCACATGTTATTTCATGCTGCCGCTGGACGGCTGCTGCTCATCATAATGCCTGCAAACGGGCTTTAGGTAGTCCATAAAAAAATGTATAAGAGTTAAAAAATAAAAGCATATGGAAATTTGATCCAAAAACACAAATTTTTATAAGTCTTATCTGTGCGACATATGTTGGCAATTGCTTGTGTGAATAATTGTTTCAAGGGGCTAGGCCCAATTAGTAAAACGTTCAGTGTTCAAACTGATTTCTTTCCACCTTTTCAGCTCTGGTTCTCTGAGACATCAGCACACGGGCAATAAACCACAACAAGCAGCACGCGTGGACAGCCCTAGCCCTTTATCCTGCCAGCAAAAGGAGCTTGACACAGAGTGCAGAGGGCATGTCTGTCTCTAAATCAACTGTTACAAAACAAGTGTGCGGCCTACACTTTTTAACGACCTGGAGCCTCACTCAGAAATTGACTCTGTTAGTGAGATTCTTGACCCTTTCAGAGGATGAAAAAGATGGTATAAATGCACACCAGCAGAAAGTTAAAGCCCAGAGAGTCATGAAGCCTGGAATTGTATTCCATTCGTGCATTGTGCATAGGATGGATGGGTTTATTGCCTGAATGAATGGTTGAATGAAAAATAATGAATTTATGGACTGGGAACAGTTTTCACCTTTTCTCCATTCCTTTTGTTCATACTTTTCAAACGTAATTCCACCAGAATCCCAGACCTCATGTGTAAAGCTGATAAAGCCATGCAGCTACAAAGTGCATTTGTAAAAAAATATAAAATGCCTACATTTCTAACTATATTAGTGGGGATGGGATGGAAGCAAGAAAAAGAGGTGGGGAAAAATGTTTTCTTATGTGATGATGGAAGACAATTGGTCTTTATGAACCCAGACACTTGAGCCTACTTGTGTTGGTGCCTAAACCTAAGCAAACAGTGATGGTTTAAATTTGATATAAACAAATGCTCCCAACAAAATGAAAACAAAACACACTCAACTTTGAAAAGAAGAACTATCATCTGATTATATACTCATACAACATTTGTTATGTTTTACTTACATGTTATTATATTCATACATGCATCACAGTGAATGGAAGGGTTTTATATTTTTTTTGCTTGATCCTCAGCCTTATTCGTTATATGCAGAATATACACTGTAAATGTTGTACCAATCTCTTAAATAATAGATAGATTTAGCAGAAAAAATAACAGCGAGCAGATATAGCGTCGTTAATTATATAGACACAGATATACTTTTTTTTTCTAATTATGCATGGGATGCTTGTGTAATAAATATGAATTCAACCTTTAATGATACATCATTAGAAATAGTACTTGTCTGGTTTTATGACAAAATCCCGTTCACTGCAAAACCCACTTTCATTCATACAAAGCTTTTTTACACTTACTCCATCATGTTTTTCTTTGACAAGCACTCAAAGCAACATTGATGCATTAGGAACAATTTTGGAGTTCACTATTTTGCTTAGAGACTAAATAGGCTACAATAGGCTTTAATTGTAGGTTAGAGTAAAGGTTTTAAGACTCACTTAAGTCCATCAAACCTTAAAAAAGCCTTATAAAACAGGACCTGAAATATGATCATTTTATTTCATGAAAGAATCTCCACAGGTTTGGCCAGTGGAAATGCATGTCGGTTTCAGCCCTTATTCTTTGAGGACCACAGGATAATTTGTCATGTCTTCATGGACATTAGTGACCATAGCACCCTGCCTCACAAACTTTTTCAGCAGAGCTCTTATCAACGTCTAAACTCAAACCAGGGGACAGGACAGACATGTCACGTGACGTTTTAGCCCAGGTCACGGTCCAGTGGTATTGAGTGGTGTATAGCCTTCTTTTTTGGCTATGCCCCCTCCTTCTTCTTTCCTACTAGCATTTATCTCTCTGCGTGGTTTTGGCAGCGATGTGCTTTTCCCAGCATTTAGCCAGGAGAGGGAGAGAGGAGGGGAGAGGTAGAGAAAATGGGGTCTTTTCAAGTGAGGAATGACGGACGCTTTATTAAAAGAGGCAGGGCCTTTTGAGAGGTTGGCCCCTCCATGCCTCCCCACCCCTCAACCCCCATACCCCATGTGTCTGGATCCATTGTCACTTAGCGATGGCAGAGCCCCCCCACCTCTACCAGGCGCTTTGTCACTGTAAGTCACCCTCACAGACCGAAGCAGGGCCCGCTCCGAGAAAACACACCCATTCGACACAGTAACTCTTCACTATTTTGGTAATGCTCGGTCCGTGAAAAAAATGGATTGTCTGGCTGTCACAAAACATACAGGAGACACAGAGATGGGCGTGACGTGTGGGGAAGAGGGGACAGGCAAAAGGAGGGATAAACTTTGTGGAGGTGGGGGGCAGAGAGTTTGGGAGCAATAAATGAGAAAGGTGGGCGAGCTGCATGTGGCGTACTGCGCAACATAGGCTGTCATGGAGAAGGAAAAGGGGCCAAATAAAGATACAGATGAGGGAGAAAAAGCACAAAAACAAGTGTAGATGAAAAGTTTAAATGGGGGAAAGTAGCAAGAAAGAACCCACAGGGACAGCCTGGAGTCCCCGTTTGTTTTTAGCTGTGTGTGAAATGTGTGTCTTTAGATACAAGCAGAATTCCTCCAGAGATAAACCCTTGGGCCCCCGTCCACTAAGCCCCCACCCTCCCCAGTCTCTCCACCCACCGCGCTCACTCAAGTGTGTGTGTGTGTGTGTGTGTGTGTCTGGTCATTTATGTGTACGTGTGTTTACGGCGAATGGGGGTCTGCATGCCCAGGACCAAAGCACTTGCAGGGGGCAACAGAAAAGACAGCTGTGTGTTTGAGAGAAACAGAAAACACCAGAAAGGAAGAGTGGAGGGCCAACAGGCATGCCAGTCAAGACCGTCACTTTTGGAGTGAGTACCGCTAACTCTGTCGCTCTCTGTCTCGCCTTCTTTTAGCTGCGCTCTGATTCCACCTCCTTTTATGTGTCTCTGTGTCTCTTCAGATTTGTCTGTTTCCCTGTTTCTTTTAATCTGATCTACATTTCCGTAGTCTTGTGATATTGAATTTTTCTTACAAAATGCTTTATATTTCATCAGATGTTATGGATCTTGCAAAACTTCCTCCGGTTTACCTTTTCACATTAGAGATGGGCCATTGCCTTTTCCCACTGACTGCTCTGCCATTTTTAGTTACATTTCTTTGATATTTACTCTGTATCTGTCACATGAATAGTGTTGTACAGGTTTTGTACTTTGCGCTCTTTTAGCTGATTTGATTCAGTACATGCATCTTGGTTTGCTCCTTGTTTACTGAGTTCCATTTCTGTTTGCCATCAGTCCACAGTAGCTGCTCTGGAGATTTCTTGTGTTTTCGGTAATGAATATGTATCTAAATGTGGGTTCTGCCTGTTGCAAAACTGACCTTTGATTTGTGGCATGCAATTGAACTTCTTCTAAGTCATAAAAGGGTTACAAAGTGTTCAAAACAAAGCTTTTTTTTATTGAAATCAATTGACAGAGCCACAGTATCTGTGGAGTGAGCTTGGTTGCTTGGGAGTATCTTTGAGGTCTGTAATGCATGTGCATCCAAGATTAGGGCAAGTGGTTGCACATGTGGGTGTGTGTCACGGTATGTTTTCCTCCGTAATCTTATTTGGACTTTTATTTGTTTCTCTGTTTGGTGTTCAGATTGTATTTTGTCAACCGGGATTAACTGTGGTAAGTAAACTAGATGTTGGTAATATGATTAGTGGGTCAGTTGACGAGATGCGTTCTGTGTGGCTCCACTTAAGACTACGTACTAATTCAGTGAGGTTGTGCAGGTAAAGGCAGAACTGGGTAAATGCTCGCTGTGCCGTAGCATATATTTAGTATTTTCGAGGTTTTGCCAGGGTCAATAGAAGTTATCCTTTTGGGGTTTTACTGTTTATGATGCTGCTTGTGGTTTAACAGAGCTGTCAGTTGTGTTGTAATGGCCAGCTTTTCATAAACATTCAGAGATAACATAACATACTTTTTGCACATCTTAATTTATTTGTCATTGCTGAAAATGGATACTGCTGAAAAACTCAATGCGAAGTACCACCTGGGTTAACAGTTGTGAAATAAGAAATTTATGTCATAGAAAATATACATATTTGGTAAGTGATGAATAGAATACATTGAACATATTAAACCACATAAAATTCAGATAAAGAATAACAGCTTTCCATGTTCTTCGTTTCCCCTTTGTCCATAATTAGATTTATTTTATTTAAATGTTTTTAGGATAAACTATTTGATAGTACTCAAGCTCATATAAAACAAAAATAACGAAAGATGCTAGATGAAGAATTTTTAATGTAAAAACACTCTTTTGCTGCAACTTTGATGTAAAAACATCATAATAATGTTGAAAACTAGTGAAAACTACTGTTTGTCCACTGACAGGTGTTTTTTCTTTTTAAAACCTAAAAAGGTAACTGGTTATTATAACATTTTCTCAAGTTTTACTTGAGTTGTTTTTAAAGTATATTTTGTCCTGTTTGTATTACATTACTTTTAAACTTACTTTTACCTTACTGCTTCAGGTGAAATAATGAAACATGGTTCAAATCACAGCTCAGATATCCTGTTAAGTAGTATGAAGGTCAAATGAGTGTTTTTTAGTGCAGGACTTTAATTTGATGCAACACCTGAAATGAAGAAGACTGTTCTGTATTCTCTGTTCCTCCAGATGGTCACACTCAGTATACACGTAGGATGTTTACAATATCTTGATCCTCTTCTCATAGGTCTCAAACCCTGTCTTCAACCAATGGCTGTCACAGTCTTTGTCATCCACAAAAGATCACAATAACCATGACAATCTCATCTATAAGCACAGAGACTGCTGCAGGCCCAGTTATAAAGAGACAATCCATAAGCAAGGCTGGGACAAACAGTGGGCTACAGAGTGGGGGTGGCTGGGAGTGTGAGAAAGTAAATAGAGAAAGTGGGACAGTTTGCCATACAGGGAATAGAGGCAGACGCACAAACGGGGGGGACAGACAGACAGATTTGCATGCAGATGGGCAGAAATTGCAACAAATTCATCCTTTGCTTTGCTTCCTGTAGATGTGTCCACAGCTGAACAATAACACTGGCCTCACACTGACAGACCTTTAAACTTCATACATACCCATAGCTGGAAAACAACCTGCTACCAGCTCAGCCTCCTCAAGAAGCCGGAGGGATGAAAGCAGCTACGGAGAGCAGTGAAAAAGGGGGACAGAAAGGAAATCAATTTGTAGAACAAACGCAAGTCAGCAGAAAAGGGTGATGAAATAGCACTCTGCAGGAATTACCATAATGGGTGTGCTCCCTTGAAAGAACGGAAACTCCCCAGTTATGAGTTGAGATATATCAAGGAACTGAGTTTGGTGGGGCTTAAATGGCTGTTTGGTAGAGCTGCACAGTTTGTGTCTTTCAGAGTTAACGAAAATGTTGCAAGCAAAGCTGTGCTTGCAACATGGTGAACATACGTAGGCACCTTATTTTCACCTTTTTGCTGGATGTACAAATAGCTGTGGTAGCAGTTGAATTATTTATCATTTGCACCTGGTGCTGTGTCTGCAAATTCATATGTGTGCATGTTTGTGTGAGTGCATAGGTTTGGACTGTTGCTGTGTTTTTAATTTATGATGGTTTTAAGATCGTTTTAAATGTTTTCTGAAGCACATTCTAGTTTTCGGATGTTTGACTGAGAGTATCTTCTATTCTTAGATTTGCTTTTGTCCATCAGCGCCACCTGATCACATTTCCTGACATAGATCTAAGGGGTGAAAATATTATTGGTGCCATCAGACAGACAAAAAATATAAACTGTATTATCTATAAAACTGCCATTATTCTCTTTTTCATATAAAAGATTAAATTTACATGCACATTTAATCACTATTGTAGGCTCAAAATGATCAACATTCGCGTTTTTACTCTTTTCACAGGAGTGCGATAATAGTTTAAAATGAATACAATACATACGAGGCAGTTGTCATGAGCTTTAAACAATGGGTTATTGTCTTTAGACTGCTTTGACAGCACATTGTCCCTTAGAATAAATGGACTTTTCGCTACCATGGTAATAAACAGCTAGATGCTCAGCTGCTGAGTTGTAATGAGTTAAACAGCTATTTGATTATATCTCACTTTTACGAATTTGACAAAAGCAGATGTATAATTGGGTGTGATTACAGTGTTTTGTATCTTTTATCAGTGACCTTGTTCCTTAAAACGAGACAAACATAACTTAGAATATGTATTCCATCCCTTATAATCTAATTATAATCTAATTTCTACCTCTCACACACAAACACACATATTCAGGTCTACTAATTCAGAATTGTTAACACGCAATCGATTGTGAAATGAAATGATGGCGAGAACCACAAAATCTGATGTCTGTAGAAGTGTCTCATTCCTTCTATTTACACTCACATACGTGCACATTTTTTAACACTGCAGTCCAATGGCGAGGGGGTGATGTCATCCTCTCTGCTGCATTACCAGCAGAGAAGGCAAACGGGGGGAGAGACACATGTAAGAGACAGGAGGCAGGGAAGGGAAAGAATGCAACAGGGACAAAAAAAAGGCAACACATGATAGCAAGCACACAGCATTAGGGACGAGGATTTCCGTGATAAATTATACTACAGGATTAATTTAACTTGGTAAAACCTTCATTATGAGAGGCTTCATTATGAGAAGCTGTACACTGTATTGGGCTGTAGACAGTTGCATGAGCACTGCATGGCAGTGTGTGCTGATACTGCTAATGTTAACTGAGGAGCTTCTGCACAGGCCATTGTCTGCTTCTTTCTCTTCAAAGAGTGTGATTAATGTGCTTGCTTGGTTCTGCTCAGCCCAGAAGCCTGAGGCTTTTCCACCCTCTTAGGGAATAATCAGTGAGGGACTCATTCATCTAAATCATATCCAGCAAAAAGTAGCAATGGTGTTACCACATATTGTTTTTAGACCACTGAGTCCATATGTGCTATTTTTGCTTTATGTTGGTGCAACGTACCTGTTTATGCCTGAGTGAAGACACGGGTGTGGTTCCCTTACATCCTTATCTCGCCACAACACATGCTCACTACTTGACGCACGGCGATAATCTCAATAACATGTAGAAAATGCAAGACTGTATGTGAAGAAAGCCTCACCAGAGAGGGAATATTTTGCCAAAGAATTCAAAATACAAGTCTCTGTTCTTTTAAACTTCAGCAAGCGGTGTGACAGGTTTCGAGCTTCCGCCAGGATCACCATTGAAAAATGTATTTTATGTTAGATTGCTGGTTTTTGCATCATCTGTATTTGCCACGTCTCTGGTTAAAGGATGCTTTTGTGTGCAAGATTTTTTTAAACTTCCCAACAAACAAAGTATGCATGTTGCTGCTGTCTATCCCTTGTGTCTCCTGATACTTTCATCATTTCAGCAGAAAAATCAATAGAATGAATCATAAAACAAAATTTCACTTATATCTATAGCATTTAGGTTATAAATGAGCTCATTCCTGTGTCAAAAACTGTGTCTCAGTTGTACGTGGTAAAATAGATTTAAGCAATAGGCTGGTGTGCCCTAAAATGATGACCATTACTTATTTGAGAGGTGTGTGTGTGTCTGCAGGGGTCAGTATATTGCTCTATAGCTGTCTAGAGGGAGGAGATAATCGTCTTCTTTCAAAGTGAAAGTAAATGATAAAGTTTTAGAGACTCATTACTGTGGTTCACCATGACAGCTTAGCAACCATGAGCAATGAAACCCACCAGCTTTAAGCAGACTAAAGAAAGTGATATAAAAGTCTCAAGTCTAAAAAATAGCATAATTATGGCACCACTCAGGAGATGTGTAACTAAGCGTTCTTGTGTTTATTTCAGTTCAGTTCAGACTTTTTCAGTGTGTAAGTTTAAGGAGGAGAAAAAGCTCAGAGTTCTGGCAGCTAGCTGTAAACAAGCTCTTAAAGTCTTTATGTCTTTTCTTTCCATTGCACATTATTTTCAAGAGACCTCTCTCTTAGCACATCTCTGTTCCACTGGTATCATGCTGAGGGTGTGTTGTGTCATTTGTTGCTAGGCCTCTACTTCAGGCATGCAGATCCTTTCTCTCTATTTACCAAAGTCCTCTCTGTTGGTCACAAGAGGGCCAACAACCCCGTCACAGCAATAGTCAACACAGCTCAAAGTGCTTTTTAACTGCGTGCAGCAGATTTGGTGCGTCAGAAAATGAGAGCTTTACACAGTAGATCTGTGTTTGAGTGCTGACACCCAACCAGCATGTTGAGATGTCTGGTTATTTTTGGAGGGGGGTGGTGGTGGTGGTTGGGAGGGAGCATGCACAGCAAGAGTGGAGATTATGTAAATGAAATAAAAGGTGCAGGTTTTGCCGCAGTCGAGTTCCTCCCTTTGGTTCTCCTGCTTCTTCGCCGCTCCTCTTCCCTGCTCCCCACTCTCCCCCCCCCCCCCCCCCCCCCCGTGCCGCATGAGTGATCCTGTTTCAGCAGCACTCCTGACTGCCTGGGAGAGAGGCATAAAGCCCTCAGACACAAACACAACACAGACAAAAACACCAGACATGCCGTGTCCTGGTCTGTGAGCCGGGACTCACCGAAACTCTTTTCTCAATCAATCTGTCTTTCATTATACTCTCAAAGTCCAGACATTCAGGTGAGAACGTGCGGGAAATATTCTTACGGGGTTTTCATTGGGGAGACGACAGTTCATGGTCAGAAAGTGTGTGGACGACCATTCATGCCAGCGACACCTTCTTTCACATACATTTCAAGTTGCAGAGGTAAATGTGCAAATTAGATGGCCCAAAGTTCCAGGGGAGGAGTGACATGAGAGGGAAACTGATGGACATGTGACATTGTCACCATTCAAAGTGCTTAAACACGCTTTCTTTCAAAGAATAATAACCAAATTACCCCTCTCTATCTTCCCTCTCTATTCCTGTACATGTCTGTCTTTCTCTTATACCCCTCATCCCTCTCTGTTCTCCCCTTTCTGATTCCTTTGCAGGCAGATGCTGGCAACAGTTTTCTTCGAGCAGCCCGTTCTGGCAACCTGGACAAGGCTTTGGACCATATAAAAAATGGCATTGATATTAATACAGCCAATCAGGTGAGAGAGGGCGCTTTCCACAGATTGAATTGTCTCACTGGCAAGCAAACCATGTGTTCAGCCAGTTATTTTTATTTATAGTTTACAGCCTATTCTTGGTTATTCATTCAATATGGATGATTGTGCTTGTCAGCAAAACTAGTTTGAAAATGCTGTTCAGTTTTTTGTTTGTGTTCTACTGAAAAAGTCTCCGGACTCTGAATAGGCTGCTCAATTCCTTCACAAAATGGCAGCAACATGTCAGTAAAAAAATCTAAATGAATCTTTGTTCTTGTTAAATCTGTAAAAAACTTGCCAGCAGAAAGTTTTATTTTATCCTACAAAGTTAATGCTTATATAACAGGATCTCACCTGGATCAGATCTTTTGGTTTCATGTTCTGCTCTAATTTTGTGTATCCTCATTTACTGAATTTGTATTTCTCTTTGTGTTTTAAGTGTCCAGCACGCATGGGGTCAACATTTGGCTGTTATTTGCCTGCTTGCTTGCCACGTGCATGCTCAGATAGTCTGTTAATCATTTTCTAAAAGTGACAGGTGAATTTTACATTGTCTCCAGGGGAAATAATAAATGGGGTAAGGGGCTTTCCGTTGCTCCATCTCGTCCATCCTGCTTCATTTAGTCTGACAGTTGTATCTAGTGTCCAGAAAGAAGAAATGCTAGTGGGCTGGTTCTGCTGCCCCCAGGCTCCGGATACTTGGCCAAAATCCTGTATGCATGAGAGACTCCTCTGGCTCATTAATCTAACTTAGTCATCCCTTCTATTCATCTACACTAATGCCGGTAATACTTCTGTCAGGGTTTCACAGGCCCATTCACAGGCTCCCTAAACAGACCCAGCACAGTCCCTGAATTATCAATGTAAAACGATACTGTACAGAAGAATTAAATGGCAATGCTTTCACAGTGATGAAGGGAAACACCCCATGGATTATAACACAATTTCATGCAGAAAGCTTTAGTTTGATTTACCTCAGTGACACAGTTTCATTAAATCGACAACATTCTTGTTTCACTGAGGTCACAGATTTCTTCATGCAGTTTTGTAAGCTTACAATGTTGTCTTAGTGTGGAATTTCTGTAGGATTCTTGTCAACGCCATGTGTTGATTTAAGCCACACAGTGTGATTAAGAGGTTTACTGTAACAACAAATAAAAATACCTTATCAGAATGTAGCCTTGTCAGTGGTACATTTCAGGTCTGCACCATACATATACCATTGCCTACTTTTCTTACAGGTTTATGCAGTGAATCAGAGACTTTTTCTTCTAGTTGTAGTTTGGCAGCTTTAACCTCTGCGGTCACAGTGTGCTGGTGTGGTGGAGGTTAGGCCAGGTGGAGGCATGACTGTAGCAGTTGCTGAGTGGATTCCCCTGTCACCAGTGCTGTGCCTCACTCCTGCCCCCACTCACCGTGTTTTCTTTCCTATCCACCCCAGTCTAACAACCGATCCTCTATCTTCTCTGGGCTTGTTTCTCACTTGTTTTATTTCTCACCCACGTTATCTTTTGCCTCTTCCTCCACCATTCCCTCCCCTTTCTCCTCTGTCTCCTGTAGAGTGATGGTGTGCTGTGGTCTCCCCACTCAGAGGAATAATATCAGTGGTGTGGGAAAGGTCCAACCTCACATGTCCTGTGCGGCTGAAGGAAGGCTGTGTGAGGTCAGACCTATCCCACACGGCTCGTATTCTTCCCAGCCACGAGACCAGCGGCCTGCCATCCCCCTCACGTCCTCCTTCCTCTCCTCTAATCATCATTAAATGAATGAAAAAAACTCTTCATCTTGATTTTCATTCCTATAGATATTGTTTTTGCTACTGACCACTCTGATTCTGAGAGTATTGCATGCATGGTGTCCACTGTAAGTATTTGTGTGCTGTGGTTTGTATTTCAGCAAAATTGTTGTTGGCATGGCTCTTACGTTTGTGAAGATGCATTTTACGTGTACTTATTTTGAAACATTGAAACATGGAGTGTGTAAGACACTTTAGTTTGAGGTCTGTTTTTCTTCACTCAGAATGGGCTCAATGGGCTGCATCTGGCCTCAAAAGAAGGCCACGTTAAAATGGTGCTGGAGCTACTTCACAATGGGATTGTACTTGAGACCACTACAAAGGTAAAAATATCCTGGCATAGGAGCAACAGGCTTACCCCTTAAAGTATCACCTGATTTTGAAAAATATGCTTAAAAATTAGTACATTAAAAACAGTTCCTAAGTCCTAAGTTTGTTCCTAAGTTCCTAAGTTTGATTGTATCTTTATAAAAGAGGCTCACATCTTGGATAACTAATTTGTATTGCCCAAAAGAAAACGTCCTTTAATTTGTTTGTCATTGAAATGTTAGTTGAATTCTTGAATTTTTGGGGAAAAAATCTGAACAAATTATGAGTTTAAAAAGCTTTAAGATGTAAGTTTAGCAAGATATCGTCTTAAATCTAACTCATAAACAGGTTACATAGATGTGAATGTGTAAACACAATGCCAATTTTTTAGGCCAGAAAATATATGCATGTTCAACATGCATGTCAAATTTCAGTTTTGGTTTCGACATTGTGTGTTCTTGTGTTAATCTGTATATAAACAGAAAGGAAACACAGCCCTGCACATTGCAGCCCTGGCAGGGCAGGAGCAGGTGGTCACAGAGCTGGTTAACTACGGGGCCAATGTCAACGCTCAGTCCCAGGTGAGACTTTTAGCTGCTCCCAAGGGAGTGTTTCCAGGTTCAACTTAGGTAGCCCTTCCAAACCTGCAATCTGAACTTTGTGGTGAAGCCATTGTGGTACTCGAACTACTGCAGGTCCATCTGTTAACATGTGTCTTTGTTCCAATATCTCTGTGTGTTTGTGTTTTCTCTGTGTACATCCCTGTGTGTGCATTTGTGACCGTCTTCCTATTGCTGTGCGTGTGTCTCTTCGGCTGTGTGTGTGTGTGTGTGTGTGTGTTTGCGTGCCTGTCTGCTGTGTGTCTTTCCGAGACAGAAGGGTTTCACTCCACTCTACATGGCTGCACAAGAAAACCATCTAGAGGTTGTGAAGTTTCTTTTGGAGAACGGAGCCAATCAGAGCATTCCAACTGAGGTACCAAAGAACTGAGAGAGAAGTTCCTGGAGAGTAATCTCCCAAATTCTTCAAACCTTGATGATCCACTATCGCTGTGTTTTCATTCTGTTTTGTTTCTCATAGGCCTCACACTTTACACCAGTCTGGTTTTCTCTCTATGAATCAAACTATCCTCTAACTCTCTCTGGTGTGTTGCAGGATGGATTTACCCCACTTGCAGTGGCTCTTCAGCAGGGACATGAGAATGTCGTAGCCCTGCTCATTAATTATGGCACCAAGGGAAAGGTCCGACTCCCTGCACTGCACATTGCAGCACGAAATGATGATACTCGCACAGCAGCCGTGCTTTTGCAGAATGACCCTAATCCTGATGTACTGAGCAAGGTGTGTGACGTGTGAAGTGTGGCTGCAGGCCCCTGCTTTTTCACAAGCGCAGTAATATAATTTTTGTCTCTTCTTTGTATGTCTAAAATGCAAAGTAAATTGTGGTTGCCTGTATTCTGCAGACTGGATTTACACCCCTCCACATTGCTGCACACTACGAAAACTTGAACGTGGCTCAACTGCTACTCAATCGTGGAGCAAATGTCAACTTCACGCCAAAGGTAAGGGCTAAAAAGTTAGCCATTCGATCTTACTTTCTGTTTTCTTTTTCTTCATCTGAGCTTTGTCTGTCTGCAGAACGGCATCACTCCTCTTCACATTGCTTCAAGACGGGGGAATGTTTTCATGGTCCGACTCCTCCTGGACAGAGGGGCACAGATCGACGCTAAAACAAAAGTGAGTACCTGTTACTGCCTTTGATTTAGATTTTATGTGCTGTCTGCTACATCTCTAACAATGCTCTCTGTTCAGGATGAGTTGACCCCGCTGCACTGCGCAGCCAGAAACGGACACGTTAGGATTATAGAGATCCTGCTGGATAACGGAGCCCCTATCCAGGCAAAAACAAAGGTAATTTCTGAGAATATTTAACGACTCTTATAATGACTACCGAAACATCACGTATTTGATTATGAGCCCAAACCAGTGAGTTGTCTTCTGCCTCTCCTGCTGCCGATTGTTTTCACACAGAGATGAGAGCCAACACTTTTGCTTTTTTTTCTAGAATGGCCTGTCTCCAATCCACATGGCAGCGCAGGGGGACCACATGGACTGCGTCAAGCAGCTTCTGCAGTTCAATGCAGAAATTGACGACATCACACTGGACCACCTAACCCCTCTGCATGTGGCAGCACACTGTGGGCACCACCGCATGGCCAAAGTACTGTTGGACAAAGGGGCCAAACCCAACTCTAGGGCTCTGGTGAGTGGGCAGCTAAACTCTCAAGTAGCTCCATAATCTGTTGTTTGGATTTCTATATATTACACCATAAGTCATGAATACTAGCTGTTCCCCTCAGGAAATTATTCATCAGACAGTAGATCCATGGATTCACATATTCATGTAAAACATGAAAGAGGCATTTAATTAATTCATACACCGTTGTCTTACTTTATGTAGTTGAAATTAAAAGCTATGTTTCATTTTTTTAGAACGGCTTTACTCCCTTGCATATTGCCTGTAAAAAGAACCACATGCGTGTGATGGACCTCCTGCTTAAACATGCAGCATCTTTAGAGGCTGTGACTGAGGTAAAAAATCTGAATATATTAAATAAATAGGAGTCAATGATAATAAAAAGACATTTTAACCAATCAAAGCATTTTTTTAGAACTGTTTGCTTTGTCATTTCTTCAGTCCGGTCTGACCCCCCTGCACGTGGCCTCATTCATGGGTCATCTCAATATTGTGAAGATACTCTTGCAGAAAGGAGCTTCACCCAATGCTTCCAATGTGGTGAGTGGCTCAAAGTGAGACACCACCTAAAATAACATTTGTAAACCTTTTTTTTTTTTTTTTTTAATTGTCACTCTGTGGTTTGTCTGACAAACAGAAAGTGGAGACTCCTCTGCACATGGCATCTCGGGCCGGGCACTACGAGGTGGCAGAGTTTCTGTTGCAGAATGCAGCACCGGTGGATGCCAAGGCCAAGGTAGAGTTTAAACACGCAAAAGCACAATCTGCATAACTTCAAACTCAAGTAAAAGACTCCTCACAGGCACAGCAACACCATTATAAGTTTGTTACATCAAAGAAATAAAGATGAAAGAGATGAAGTAGAGAGAGCTTTGTATACCATACATGCATCAAGTTTCCTCCACATACTCTATTTTGATTTGTAATGGAGAAAAACTAAGATATGAAAACCCTTTTCAGAGTGTATGTTAAGTTTCAAGATTCCTGTCATGTCCCTCACAGGATGACCAAACACCGCTGCATTGTGCAGCTCGAATGGGCCACAAGGAGCTTGTGAAGCTTCTGCTAGAACAAAAAGCCAACCCCAACTCCAGCACCACGTCTGGCCACACGCCTCTTCACATTGCTGCCCGAGAAGGTCATGTACAGACTGTACGCATCCTACTCGACATGGAGGCTCAGCAGACCAAGATGACCAAGGTAAAGCCGGTCCAATAACATTTAATCTGTTGCATTAAGCGTTCAACACGGACAGCTCATCCGTCACTGCAACCTTATGTTGCGTCCAATTTCCTGTTGGTTCCTCTTTAGAAGGGTTTCACACCACTCCATGTGGCCTCAAAGTATGGCAAGGTGGATGTTGCAGAGCTGCTGCTTGAAAGAGGATCCAACCCTAATGCAGCTGGGAAGGTGAGGAAAAGACAAAGAGCTTACTTATATCTAAGGTAGAAATGGAAAAAGCGTAGCAGAAAGACTACAGTAACTTTTGCTGCTGTTTTTCACAGAATGGCCTGACTCCGCTGCACGTTGCTGTGCATCACAACAACCTGGATGTAGTTAATTTACTTGTCAGCAAAGGAGGATCACCACACAGTGCTGCCAGGGTAAAAAACAATCCAACAAAACAAACATTGTCGAACCAAATGGTTCAACATTGTGAATGCATGAATTCTCAGCGAAAGCAAAGAACAATAAAACCTCCCTATTCTGCAGAATGGCTACACTGCCCTCCACATAGCATCCAAGCAGAACCAGGTGGAGGTGGCCAACAGCCTGCTGCAGTACGGGGCATCGGCCAACGCTGAGTCACTGCAGGGAGTCACCCCCCTTCACCTGGCCTCACAGGAGGGCCGGCCCGACATGGTCTCCCTGCTCATCTCAAAACAGGCCAACGTCAACCTTGGGAACAAGGCAAGAACAGACCCTTAGAAATATTAAGGAAACTTGTCAGTTCCTGCGCATATTTTTACAAAAACTATTTTAGTGTTCAATTGGATTAAAAAAAATTGGGGTTTGAGGTACTAAACACTCTCCTTCGACTCTCCTGACCAGAGTGGATTAACCCCCCTGCACCTGGTGGCACAGGAGGGACACGTTAGCATTGCTGACATCTTGGTGAAACAAGGAGCTTCAGTTTACGCTGCCACACGAGTAAGACCTTTTTCTTCTTTGGCCCCTAATTAAAGAACGCGTCACCCTCTTTTGTTAGCTGAGATTTCCTTTAGAAACTACTTGTGCCCCCACCATGACCTGTTAAAGATAGAGTCTAAGTACTGAGGCATAAATAGCCTCCCAGACGGTTTTGTTATCAGCAGTACTGTACTTGGCTGACCCATAAGGTGTTCAAACGCCTGATGCCTAGTGCGTACTAACATCTTTTTTGTCTTTATTTGGCCTTTTTGTTGTATTTTATGTAATATTCATGAAAATCGTGATTAAAATGTCTGGAAATAGTCATGGTCAAGACACTGATGTATGGTGAGTAATCAGCGCTGTGTTTAAGAGTTGTCACTGTTCTCCTTCAACGTCAGATGGGCTACACGCCTCTCCATGTAGCATGTCACTACGGCAACATCAAGATGGTGAAGTTCCTCTTGCAGCAGCAGGCCAATGTTAACAGCAAAACAAGGGTGAGTGCTTCCTGAAAGTCCTCAAGTTACAATAAAAATCTGCCTCAGTTTGAGTCATCATGCTACAGTATTCTTTGTCAGTAAGTAAAGCTACAGTCCATCACACAGTTCAAACCACGTTATCCAGCTAGTACCCCTTTAAAGTGAGGACTTAAGTCTATTTTTTTAATAAATCCTAAACAGGGTCAGTTGTCACTGAATCACGGACTATTTCTCAGTCACATCCAAATAATATATTTTTTGGTGTGCATAAAGACAAAACAATAGGGATTTCTCTTAAACAATTCCCAGATGTCTAATGTTTCTTTTTGTCTTACTTTCAGCTTGGTTACACTCCTCTGCACCAGGCAGCTCAGCAGGGACACACAGACATTGTGACACTGTTACTGAAACATGGCGCTCAGCCCAACGAGACCACCACAGTGAGTGTGAACAACCTGCTCTTCTTCATGCTCATTCACCGTGCTTTGTCCTCGATGATCTGGTCAATCTGCTTCTCTTTGACTTATAGCATGGCACTTCCGCCCTGGCCATTGCCAAGAGGTTGGGCTACATCTCAGTGATTGATGTCCTGAAGCTTGTCACTGAGGAGACAGTTTCCATGGTAAGAAGTTTAGAAAGTTGTATGGCTGCAGCTGTGGTATTATTTATTCATGAGAGGCAAAAAAAAAAAAAAAGGAAATTACTGGGAGAAGATTTTTTCTGCGTCGCTCTCATACCTTTAAATAATTTTTCATGTTTCCTTCTGTGCCCTGAAGACGACCACAGAGAAACATCGTATGAGTTTCCCGGAAACGGTGGATGAAATTCTAGACGTGTCTGAGGATGAAGGTACGGCACTTACATGATTAGCCGTAGCAGGAAACAGTCGGAATCCATGATTTTTTTAAATTAAGAAAGTGTTTATTTGTTCCAACCTTTTTGTTTTTTTAGGAATTGCACAGCTAACATTAGGTATGAATGTCTTTCTCTTTTTTGTGCAGCTTTCATAGGTTGTTGTAACAAACTCTGTGGCTCCATTTCAAGCTCACTTCATCTTTGTCTCTCTCTCTCTCGATCTCTCTGTGGTGACGCTCACTGTGTTGGTGGCTCTGGTTTCTCATTGGCATGCAGTTGTAGAACCCATGTGTCTAACCTCTATATGTCCCTTCAATAACACCCTCATCCTTTAAATCCGTAGGTGTCTTTCCACCTTTGTCACTGTTTACAGTAGCAGTCAGACACAGCTCATACACCTTCCTGTGACGTTTAACACCTCACAGCGGAGCGCTGGTGTCTCTTTAAAAAACATTACTTTGCTACTTGTGCTTCCAGTTGCGTTTCTCCTTCAGTCATGGTGTTTGTTACTATGCAGTTATTATTGTTTTAAGTCATTATCTGTTACCATCATATACATTGTGTCCATGGATCTGGAGGTTGTTTAACCTCTAGTACAGGAAAATTGTAACCTGTAGAAAGGCAGTAAACACCATTTTGGGGATTTTACTAAATGTAACTGTAATGAGAAATTATGGCAAATAAAGCCTGTATCACAATATGTACATTTTCATAGTTTCAGATCAAGTATCATGGAAAAAAAAATAATAATATCGTGGCAGTACACCAGTGTTTTATCGTGACGTAAACCACATTTCTTTTTACTTTCAAAAGTTTGACAAGATGTTAGTGACACTTTTTGTAAACAATCATGACAAAAAACACCACAGGAAACAAAAATGTCCTGGTTCATGTCCTATGTCTGTTTTATATGCTGGTACTGTTATTTTTTTCTGGTATGCTTCTTTGACAGAGAACAAAAATAGAGAAAAAAATTCAGAGAATAGTCACTTAAAGTAGTCTGATGGGACAGGAACACAAAATGTAACAATTGTTTTGGTGTCTCTCTGTCTCACTGATGTGTGAATTGACATTTGGGTATTACATATATTCCAAGGTGATGATGGTTTATTTATCGTATTTATTATCACTTTCCTCTGCTCTCAAGTGGCTACAATAACCACTAATGGTTGCTTAACTTTTTAGTGTTTTCCCCACTGATGACAATACTGCCAAAAGATTAAGTGTCTCAGAACATTTTAGTCTTCTGATGATTCAACCAACAGAATGTCAGTGAGGCTCTAAATATAGAAAGTAGCTGACTCGCTGTCTTAAAGATACATCTCATTTCCGGAATGGTGAAGTGATATCAGATAACATGATGTGTGCTCTCCCCTCATATTTGATATCATTTCACACATGCGATGCACATTTATGGCACAAAAGACAGAGGATATGCAGGACATGAGCTAACACGCGGGAATCGGAAGTCAAAAGAACATTCATCGCGTCAATCGTAGTGCAGCGACACCTATGACATCATTCTGGCTCTGGACCACACACAGACACTCGCTCACAAAAGCTGTACTCACACAGTCCCAAATTCATGGACACAGAAAATGTCCTTTTGCTGCTTTTGAGTCTGGCATTACCGTCTGCCTTTTTTGGGGGGGTAAGTAAACTATCTACATGGTCTCATTGTGTCAGGAGTACAGTTTGTTGTATTAATATCATACGAGGTCGTCAGATGTGCTGTTCGGATTGCTTTAGGTTTTTTTGAAAAACAACTCTTTTCAGACATAACTCTCTGATGCTGCCGATTTCTTAAATACCCCCTCACTAACTGTTTTAACTATTTCACAAGACAACACATATGTCGAATAAGATTGTGCTGATGCATTCTTCCCGGAGTTGGTGCACTCTGCGGATCTAACACCTTTGCTGTAAATCTTCAAATGAGTTTTCATGATTGTTAGTCCAATTATACTTGGAGAGTACAAACGAAAAGAGTAGAGGGTTACATCTGAATTATCATATTGCTCATATCTACATACCCTGTTTGTTAATAGTTTCCATTGTGTTTTGTATGGGTGACTCCATTAATTTTCTTAACAAATTTCTGCCCAAATACATTGTCAATAATATCTCATGTCACCAGTCTAATTCCTAAATATCAGAGCCATCACTTACATACATCCTGGGTTGTCGTGTTGCCTAACCCTTCTAACTGCTTGTTAACAGTCTCGTTTTCTTTCTCTTTTTCTCTTGTGCTGTTTCACCAACCTGACCACGGTCTGTCCGCTCTCTTTGGCATGTTGTTCTCTGAAGGAGAGGAGCTTTTGGGGACAGAAGGGGCCAGGTACATGAAGATGGATGACATGAAAGACCATGATGACGATTTCCTCTCTCCCAAGAAATCACTGGAGTACGAGAGAGGGCTGGGCACAGCGTAAGGGGGGATGGGCGGGGAAGCAGGGAAGAAAGCTGAGCTAGTAGCCAAGAGTTAAGAGGCAGATGGGTAGAAGGGAATGCACCATAGACACACAATAAACACCAGGATGATCACTTGGGAGGAGCACAAATGCAAAGAAATGTATTCGATCTGAATTGTTTTTCTTTTTTCATGCAACAGAAATTACTCGCCAGCCATTCCGAGGATCCCCCGTGTTTCACCAGAGACTGTCATCCTGAAAGAGCACGAAATAGAGCAGGTAATAGAGACGTGTGCCTTAAATTACTCAACCTCCAATATTTCAGACTTGGTCCAGCCATGTGTATTTCAATTATATGGTCAAATGGCAAAATTTCAAACAGCAAAAACTTGTTTTATGCATCAGACTACATAGAAGTGTCTGGCATTAGGAGCGTAGCAAAGGATTCTTTGGACCCTTTAGGTTGTGGCATTCTTTCCAAAGACACTATCAGATCCCAACGGATTGGTATTTGAAGAGTTAGAGGTCAGGGGTCAGGGTCCTTTGCATGCTTTTTAGCCTTCCTGAGCTGTTTTTGAAAGGCTCAGTGCTGTCCCTCTATAGAAAGCTGCTCCTTAGGGGACTGGGTTGCCACACTGTGTAGCTGTGGGGAGTGATTGGCCTGCATAAATGTTTTGGAAGAGTGTTCAATCCACAGGATGAAATCCCCTGTAAACAATTTAAAGGGAGAACAGAGCATCCTTGATCAAATTAAAATTGTTTCAAATATTATTTTAAACTCTAAATTCTGAAACTCAAATAAAAGACAAACATACAATATCCTGGATATTGAACAGTTTTCAGACCCAGGCTTTAGTTCATGTCATCAACCTAAAACTACTTGTCTAAAGGGCATGTTTAAATTCAAAACAGAAAATTTCTTGAACAGACTGCTCTTTTTTTTCCTCCCTGTTTTTGTAGTCTCAAGATAAATTCCTTCCTTTTAATCCATAACATTTTAGAGTTAGTCATTTGAAAGTAATTACAAAGTCATAGATCTCTTTGGCTGTATACACCAAATAATTTTATTTTCTGTTTTTCAGCAACACACTCCACTTCCGTTGCCCAAAGAATATGATGATGACTCATTGATTCCCAGCAGCCCAGCAACGGAAACGTCTGACAATGTCAGCCCGGTTGCCAGTCCCATACACACAGGGTCAGTGAATAAAGAACCGTTACATACTACTTACTCTATACTCACGTTGCTAATCAGCTTGTTTGTCCAACAGGTTCCTGGTCAGTTTTATGGTGGATGCTCGGGGCGGTTCAATGCGAGGCAGCAGGCATAATGGTCTGCGTGTCATCATACCTCCACGGACGTGTGCGGCACCCACCCGTATTACCTGCCGCCTGGTGAAGCCGCAGAAGCTGACCAGCCCCCCTCCACTGGTGGAGGGAGAGGGGCTGGCCAGCAGGATCATTTCCCTAGGTCCAGCGGGCATGCAGTTCTTGGGGTGAGCAAGCAACTGAAGTGCCTTTCTTCGTTCAACCAAACGATTGCAAATATTTACTTTACCTCTAAATGTATAAGAAGCATTAAATATAAAGAGTTTGTAATGGTATTTGATTCCTGTTTGTTAGATTGCTGATCACGAGTCTACCCAAAATGGTGCTGTTTATTTAACTCTTAATAACATTCTATACTCTTTCTCAACATTATGTTTAACATGGCAGCACATTTCAGTATATCTTTATCTTATTATATTCTGTTTATTCTTCTCTTAATGTATTTTGCATGTACTTCTGTACGTATGGCAGACCGGTGATTGTGGAGATCCCTCACTTTGCTGCTCTGGGTCGGGGTGATCGAGAACTTGTGGTGCTGAGAAGTGAGAATGGCTCTGTATGGAAGGAGCATCGCAATCGCTATGGCGATGAAGTTCTAGAGACAATCTTGAATGGGATGGATGAGGGTAAGAGATCCTACAAACCATTGTTGTTCTCACTTACCTGAATCACATGAGTAGAGACTGAAGAATTTGTTCTCTCCTCAGAGCTGGAAAGTCAAGAGGAACTTGGGAAGAAGCGAATCCGCCGCATTATCTCCACGGACTTCCCCCTGTACTTTGCTGTGGTGTCAAGAGTCCAACAAGAGAGCGACCTTATTGGTCCAGAGGGAGGTTCGTTGACAAGTAAACTGGTGCCGATGGTCCAGGCCTCGTTTCCCGAAACGGCAGTTACCAAACGAGTCCGCCTGGGGCTGCAGGTGAGATGGGACGATGAGGAGAAGGAAGGAGAGGAAAGACAAAACCGTTAGTGCCTGTGTTGCCTGAGAAACAGCATGCTGGATTTCTTTTGATTGATCATGGAATGACCTGATCATATCAGCGCACGCGTCAAGGTTTCCTGATTTAGTTCACTTTTCCTGATTTGCTTGTTGGATTGTTAGAGGACCTTTTTGCTTTTTATTTCACATATTGCATGCACTTCGCACCTTTATTCTCATGGACTGCCCATTTAGTGCGAATATGTCATTGTTTGTCATCTAAAGTATGTTTTACACTAATGTGTTTATGTCACTGATAAAACTTGTACTTCATATATTTTCCTCGCTCTGTAAGAAAGAAAAATCATTTTCTTAATTTTTGTTTTAGCAGACTGTGTGATTGTGTTGGCATTTTTCATTGATATCTGAAAAATGTACTAAAATGAATTCTTTTTGAAAAAAAAAGCATTTCACTACACAAAACAGGGTACAGCTACGGACCTGAAATCTTTTTGGCTTAGTTAATTAAACATGTATTCCTTTACCCTTATGTTGGCATAACTTCCCTTTTTAGGTCAGCATCTCTCAAAAATATACACCAAAGACAAGAGGAGTTTTTCTGACACTTTATCATATGAAGAGTGCTCCACTTATGATTTTGTTCTCTTCATTTGATACATTTTCCCAAATGTGCAAAATCATTTCAAGCATTTTTCCGTTTGTCTAGTCAGATACATAAAATGTAATGTTTGCTCCCTCTTCAGCACTGTCAGTACATTTGCTAGGCATTGGCACTTATTCATCTGCATGTAATGTCTTTTCTTTACTTTCTGCTCTGCATTTTGTCTTTTAACTAGATACTTTTGCCACCTATGGTTTTTAATTATCAGATGGAAACTTAGAACTCCAACATCTGAATATGCTTTAGTAGAACAAAATGGCAGCTGAAAATGGAATTAATTAATTCAGCTCAACATTTTAAACAACTGAACACACATAAATGAATTTATGGAAAAATAATTATGTTTTGTAACCCTATCATGCTGTAACCAGGCTAAAAAACAAATGGAAATTAATATAGATAAATTAGACATTGTTATAATATTATCTATTTTGCCTTGTAGAGATGTACGTTTACAGTTTTAATATTGCATTATTTTTAGAAAGATGTTTGCGTAACAGATGTTTATTCAGTAGAGATGACATGTACGTGTAGTGCCTTAATCTTTGACATCCTTTTTGTTTTACTAAGTGTAAAAGATTCTTGTTAACACGCATTGTTATAATTGATAATAAAATAATAATTTTTACATCATTAAACCAGTTTGTGGGGCTATTGTCTCTCCTAATGAATTGTATGAGGAATTTTGTTCACTCTTGGCTTCTTTCTCTTTCTCTTTCTTCATCTTTAATTTTTCCTCATTGAGCCATCCTCATTCTTTTTCCATTTCCATCTTTAATCTGGTGCCCTGTTTTACCAACACCCTTCTCCTTCTTTCTTTCTGTTGTATTATTGTACTTCTTTTCTTTAATCTCATCATACTCCCATGCAAAACTCCCCTTCATCCCATCAATTATTTTCAACCTCAGGCTCAGCCAGTTCCAGATGAGCTGCTTGCAAAGCTGCTGGGTAACCAAGCGAACTTTAGTCCTGTTGTCACTGTGGAGCCTCGGAGGCGCAAGTTTCACAGACCCATTGGCCTGCGCATACCCCTGCCCCCATCCTGGAAGGAGAGCCCTCGAGACTCGGGCGAGGGCGACACCACCAGTCTGCGTCTGCTCTGCTCTGTCATAGGTACCGCACGCCACAGCCAGGAAGAGTGTGTGTGTGTGTGTGAGGGAGGGCGGGGGTGCATCAAAAGGAAAGGGTTTTGACTTAATATTTGAATGGTTAAAATATCAAATTCCTAGTCAAGGAAACATTTCCATGACTAGATTTCTGCTCACTCATCTTTGATCGTTGAGTTTGAACTTTGTCCTCCTGACTGACAGGTGGCACAGCACCGGCCCAGTGGGAGGATATCACTGGCACTACAAAGCTCGCATATTCTAATGACTGTGCCAGCTTCACGACTAATGTTTCAGCACGGTAAGCTCAGCTAACAACATCAACCACTCGTCACCTGTCATCACACCCACACTAATGAATGTATGGTCTTTACCACTTTTAATGAAACTGAGGAGAAATGGGAAGAGATTCGTGGGCAACATTGTGATGACATGCTGTTGGTTCCTCAGCTTCTGGCTGGCAGACTGTCCCAGGACAGCTGAAGCCGTCTCCTTTGCCAACCTGCTGTACAGAGAGCTGTCGGCTGTACCTTACATGGCCAAGTTTGTGGTTTTTGCAAAGATGAATGAGCTCCGTGAGGGCCGTCTGCGCTGCTACTGCATGACTGACGACAAGATGGATAAAACTCTGGAGCAACACGAGAACTTCACAGAAGTGGCACGCAGCAGAGACATAGAGGTCAGTTCTGACGCACGGACCGGACGAGCAAGGACCTCCTTGGCATATGTTTTGGGGATAAGTTCTTAAATGATATTCTCCAGGTGATGGAGGGGATGCCGCTGCACCTTGAGTGTTCAGGGAATCTTGTTCCAGTGAGGAAGGCCACACAGCAGCCTCGCTGTTTTAGTTTTCAGGCCTTCAGGGATAACCGTCTTCCCGTCTCCGTTAAGGTGATAGAATTTACCTTTATTGAAGAATTTTTTGGCATATTGTTGATACATGGGCACAATCTCCATTCAACTTACGTACGTTTATCAAAGGTGAGAGACAGCAGTAAAGAGCCAACTGGATTTTTATCCTTCCTGCGTAAGACCACTAAGTATGAGGACAGCCAGCACGTGCTCTGCAACCTCAACATCACAATGCCTCCGTGTATTAAGGTAAAGCTTTTAACGTTATCCTTTCATTAGGTGCATAGAGTTTAATTGGTTTCAGTATCTTTGGTTAAAGTGCAATAGGTAATTGCTTGTAATTTCCAGATTATTGGAAGTGAGGACCGGAGAAGAACTCTGACCCCGCTGGCTTTAAGAGAAAGATACAGTGCCCTGAATGAGCCTGCTATGGGTATGAAGCTCCTACACTACTAAAGAGCCATACCTGCTTATTATCAGTGTGACTCCTTCTTTCCAGGCACTTTGTTTGATCCAGGGCAGAAAAAATCCATTCAGCAATGAGTGGCTGAACTTCTTATCTTACGGAGTCAGAAGTTATAGTTTCATTTGTGTGTGATTCGCAGCATCGATGACTGCCATGGAAAGAACAGAGCTGAAAATGGCGGTGATTGCAGAGCAGCTGGGACTGAGTTGGGCTGGTGAGTGAGTCATGAGCATATACCCATTCTGTTTTCATGTGAGCCATCCACGTTTATCTTATGTTTGACAAGCAGACCTGGCGTGAGGCACCTGATTAAACAAAGTTCTAACATGGTGCCTGGCCACTGAAACAACAGTAATTGCTTTCTGTTTCCCTGCCAAGAGTCTCAGCTGTTTTACAGAGTATAGTCATCTCTATCGAGACCACGGCTGCATGCATTAACACAATATAAATGTTCCCTCTATTTAATTTTCTAAACAGAATTGGCACGTGAGCTTCAGCTCAGTGTGGATGATATCAATAAGATCCGTGTGGAAAATCCTAATTCCCTACTGGAGCAGAGTTCTGCATTGCTCAACCTATGGGCCACACGTGAGGGCAAAAGGGCCAAGAGTGAGTGAATCACACCGAAGCTGACTTTGAATTTCTCCCACTGACAGACATTTTTCCAAGCCACCGCCTCTTTTATGCAGAGGGTTAGAATGATGTAGCTCATGCAAACCCCTCCTTCTCTTTTGCCTGGAATGCTTAAGTTGATTGGTTTCTCCGCAGTGGAGAGCTTGTACACGGCTCTGAAGAGTATTGACCGTATGGACATCATCAATATGTTGGAGGGCCAGCCTCCTCAGCCGTTGAGACAAGGCTCCCATGAACTGAGCAGACGCAGACACAATGAGAGAGATCACCTATCCCCTGGTATGACCAATGGTAAGCTCCCTCCCCACAGTTCCGCAATGCAGCCCATCCCACATGTCCCCATTACCTTAAGCCTAAAACAGTAATTCCAGAAAACATGTGCTGTTCAGCCTTTTATGAATAGAATATTTTCTACATCCTGCATATCATCAGATCTTTACATGAAGGATCTTGAAGTTATAAAAAACTTAACGAAAAGGTTAGATAAAGACATTGTAATTGGAGGGAATGTAAACGTGTGTGGTTGTTTGTCTCTGTGTGGCCCTGCGCTAGCCTGGCGACCTATCCTGGGCTGGGTATACCCCGCCGCTCATCCAATGGCAGCTGGGACAGGCTCCAGCCGCCTGCAAACCTATTAAGAAGAAGCAGTAAAGATGATGGATAGATAGATGGATTTAGAAAAAAATTAGAAATAAACTACTGTAGTCCAGATTAAGCAAAAGCAGTCAATTGGACACTTTGTGTTAATTTCTTCAATGCTTCTCAGAAGAAATTCATTTCTGATCTTTTGTTTTCAAACATAAGATTTCATTTTTCAACCGAGATACTTTTATATCTCATATATCCAGAAAGTGCTGACTTGCTAATGCGATATTACTCCGTAATGGGTAAAGTTTTCAGCAGTATTTGTCAGAGTTATATTCACTTAAAAGTTAATGTTGGTTAATTTGTGCCCACTCACAATTATCTTTGGTGATTTATTATATGGGGTCCTTTTCCTCAGCAAATGTGTAATGCTTCATCTAACTATTGATTTTTAAACATTTCATCTATGTGTGAAAATCTGATGATGCGCAAATCATTAATCTAACTGTAACAAACAAAATCCTCTTCTCCTTTTCCCCCAAAAAAACATTTAGTGATGTTTGTCTCCCTCTGAATTCTCTGTTTTTCCTGTGTCTTTCTTATTTATTTCACATGATGCTGTTGAGTATGAAAGCTGCCACAAGCGCCAACTTTCACAGGATTTTACCTCTGCAACATGCTCCGGGACTCAGGACACTCCTACCACTATATTACAGCTTCTGAACAGGCTCAAAGCCTTTGGTTATTCATTTTGCTCTGCACAAATCACTTTCCAAACATGAAGGTTAACTCAGACATAAAGGAAAGTACACAGAAAAGAAGGATTAAATGGTAAAAAGTGCTTAGGTCAATGGTAATATCTCAAAGAAGCAGTGACCTAGTTACCTATTATCTTTGAATTCTACACTGATAAATAAGCTATCCTTTTAAAGATGGGCTCAACCTGTACAAAATACACAAGAGTAACATCAGGGTATTAATACTTTAGACCTTCTTTTAATATTTCAATGAGGTGGATTTTAGTAGGATAACTGCTTAAACAATACTTTGTCATACATGATCAGTCCATGTAGATTTTAAGAAAATCCCCATATCTCTCTTAGCAATTGTCAGTTCACAGTCTTTTACTCTTGTTTCTCATGGTTTCTTTCACTCATGCATACCCTACATCTTACTGATTCCATTTTCACCTCTGGACTGCCCTTCCTCCTGAACTGGCTTCTCCTCTCTGCCTCCGGTGCAGATGATGAGTTAGTTGGACAGGTGACAGGTCCTCTCTGTGAAAATTGGAGCCATTATCAGAGATGTAACTATGCATATAGCTGTGACCATGACAATCAAAGGAGGAAAAGGGAGAGGCTCAGATCACAGCCGCAGTGAATCTGATAGTCGTGTATCTCTTTTGTCTGTCCGTCTGGCTAGCTTCCTCCCAAAGGCCGTTTTTGCTTTGACACATTGTATACATGCAAATTGAATCATTAATACTTTGCACCGATTTCAAGAAGCTTATGGTTTACTGAGCCAATTTAATCTAATCCTCTAAGAGGCATAAAAAGGAATAACAATTTGACCACACACCTACTGACGTTGTTGCGAGCAGTGAAGTACACATGTATGTTGACAGTTATCTTTAATTCAGTTACAAATCCAAGTAATTCACTATCAACTATCTTTTTAGATTTAGTTGTTATTTCACTGCTTAATTTAGAATTTAAATAAGAATAATTAAAAGGCAATTTAGAGTTAGAGTATATGATGTGAGTGCTGTGTCTGTCTCTCAATGATGAAGCCACACTGAAAATCTGAGATGTGTTTTTAATTTCAGACTTTCCCAGTGTGATAGTGTAATTTTTTCATTCATTTCCCGTCTTAGGGCTTCATACAATGGCATCATGAGAATGATGTTAGTCAGCTAATCTCATCCTTGATAACAAAACTTAATATTCACATATTCCACAATGTTGATTTAATCAATAATAAGCTGTCATACAAAGTCACCTAATTCTTTTTTTAACCTGTACTTTTAATCTTTTTTCTTTTTATTTACAAGTGTTAATATACATCTACAGTATCAGTTTTCATATATAAAGTTTTCCTCAAAAATATAAGAATACAGCATATTCAAGCACAGCAACACATCTTCTAAACTTGTGAGGGGCATCTAAATCTTTCTGCCTGTGGTTGCATGTTCAGTAGTTTGAATCTTTTAGAGTTAATGTTGGTGCACTGAATGTCCTTTTGGGAGCCGTGTTTTCATTCCCTGTGAATCTGTCCCTTTCTGTGTTTCTCTGGACATGTCATCTGCAGCCTAGCCGCCCTACTCTTCCTCCTTCTCACTCCTCTCCGAACTCTGACCTCATGCCGACCTCATGTTGACCTCTGACCCACATCTCTAGCTTTTTTTACCCCCTTTTTTTAAATATTTTTTTTATTTTTTTGCAATTGGTGCATCGCCTTTTTTTTCTTCCTCTTGAAACCCCACCTTTTTAAATGTCCGCTCTGTGACAGATACCCCTCACACAGATTGTGTTATCAGCAACCACTGGGAGGGGGAGGTGACCCCTGCTCTCTCTGTCTCGCTCTCTTTCTCTCTCTCTGTTTCTGTTTGTGTTCATCCGCCTGGTTTCATTCCTCTCTCTCTCTCTCTCTCTCTCTCTCTCTCTCTGTCTTCCTTCTCTGAACTTTTGCTCTTTTCCCATCCCTTTTTTTCCTTACCCCTCTGCATGACTGCATGTGCACCAGACTTCCATTGCTCATCTCCCTCTGTATTAGCATGGAACCACTGGGAGGATGGGCAGCAGTAACACTAACGTGTTGCAGATAGTAATTCAAAAACTGCATTCAAGCTGCCTGACGAGCAGACGTGTCTTTGCATGGCATGAATACTGAGAATGACTTGATAGATTTGCCCAGTTGCTCCTCAGTGACCAGTCATAAGGGGAGTTTAAAAAAGGCTGCAAACCTTTTTTGGGAACTTAGACCTGTGCCTGCTCTGTTCATGTATGAATGTTATGATTGTTTTGTGTGTCATAGGTTCTATGTAAACTGTCCCCATATCATTTTGTGTAAAATATGTGATGGTCAATTTGTTCGTCTTATTGTAATCATGCTTATTGTTAAATGTCAACTGTCAAAGGAGTCTGTGAGAGTGTATCAGTGTGAGCGTCTTTGTGTTTTACTTTATAGTTATAGTGTTTTGTGGATTTTTACATGTTTAACCATTCGCTTAGAGGCAAAAATGTACACTTCCTTCCCATGTGTTTTTCTTTGAGCTTCCCTCCTTTGTTTTCTATAAAATGGTGGTAGTGTTTGTCATACTCCAATTTCTTCAATTTTTTTTGTCACTATCATCTGAACTCACGATATATCATCTCATTTTGATGACACAAAAAACATCAACTCATCATACACTGCTATGCAAGGTATTTCATACACAAACTAACAAACTAATACCAAATACAGCTTTCAGATATAAATCACTTACCTTCAAGATAAAACTATACATACCCATTTATCACTGATTATGTTGTTACCCATATTAAGTTTACTAACTTAAACGTTCACCCAGTCATCATGTAAAGAATAACAAAGACATTTGAAACATCAATCACCTTTACCGAAATTTAGAATAAATGTATTCTGACATTGCTAAAGCTGATAGATAGGCAGATTTATAGTAATTAGTGCTCTCACAGATTTCAAGCAGATCTTTAACGTTTTAATGTGGATAAATTAGCTATTTGTGTAAGACTATAATTAAGTAATTTTTCTCCCTGATATAGAATGAAGTCTGTCTGCGTGCAACTCTGTTTTTCTTAGCTATGAATGAATATGCATGTCAGTGCATGTGAATCCCCTCTTTTAACCCTGTTGGAGAAAACTATGCACATACAAAAAAACTTACCAGTCTGCAGACTTTTCTGTGATTGCTCACACATGCACTTCAGACAAGGAGTCTGCATGAAATGCATTTTTTACAACTGGAGAGACTCCAAAGTAGTAGGGTGCACGGGAGGCAGGAAGAGATGCAAAAGTCATATTGAGGAAATCAGGGGGGGTTATTTATCTCACAGAGGAAAGAGCGAAAGGTGTTTTTCCCAATGACTAACTTGGAAGTAGGCATCGTAATCTCTGCAAGATCACCAGTAAACGCAGCGGACATTTGCATTCTCAATATGCAAAATATTTAAAATTTTACAATTTTTACTGCCTTCTCAGCCCCCAATGCTTGAAAACAGGTTACAAATTGAATTGGCTTTCAATATCTATTCCATTTATTTTTGGTCTGACATGTAGAGCTCTAGTGGGACATCTAATGGTGCTAGAACGTTAAAGTAAATTGCAAAGTGAAAACAAATGATAGTATAAGACATGTATAAAATATTAAATATAGTCTTATTTGTCCAGATCTAAATTAGAAAAGCCTGACAACTTTCGAGAAAAGTATATTTGCAACTGTCAACTGACTGGCTGGGAGGATTTGCTCTCAAACGTAGTTGTCAACTAAGCATAAAGTTACACCCTCGCTCTCCACAGTGTTCTCATCACTGCAGTATAGACACACATACACACAGAGTCTGTCTTGCATATGCTGTCCATCTTTTTCTGCATTTGGTGTTATATCATGAGGTGTTACGGTCTTCCTGCCACTCACACTTCATCTTGATTACCATTACTCAAATCCCTTCATAAGAATTATTTTTTCAAAACTTTCATTTTTAGGATAATTCATGCAGAATGATCCAGTTTTGAGAGATATCTGTCATTTTTGTGGACTGAATAAGCAGATGGTTTTATCCAACTGTATTATTCCTCATTTTAGAGCATATACAGTTGTCATTTTCATTAAGAAAATTATCCCAAAAAAATCTACTGCTGTGACATTGTGTACTATCAGGTCAGGTTGTACAAAAATTGTCAAAAAGCATCTGTAGGAGTGACCTGAGTCCACAGCATAGTGTTAATATGGAGTTGGAAAATGTACTTGAAAAAGTGATTCACATTTTTTGTTTGAGGCAGCAGCCATGTGGTTTTCATAACTGAGGAGAAGTCTCCTGAAATTGTGTTTGTATGAATAACATCAATACAGAGGTGTAATGAATGCATTAATGAGTCAATGAGAGAGCTAGCGGCTTTGTGAGTGACTCGGTGTTAGCGTGTGCGTGCACATGCAAGCATTTTTATGAGGAGGAAATGAGATTGCCTGCGTGCATGCTATCCAGCCTGACAACAATAATAACCCGCCTGTTTCTGAAGGAGAGTTCGAATGCATGCATCTATGAATGTGAATGGAGACGCGTGTTGGTATGAGACTGAGAGTGTGTATCTCTGCCGGACAAGTGTCAGTAATCCCTCTGCGTCTCCCTGCAGGTGACAGCTAGCAGAGCAGCACCAGTCATAACTGGGTTTCAACCCTAGTCTCAGTCTCTTGGTTCATCCGGTTGTGTCTGCTGCTGCTGCTGCTCTCGCTGTCAACATTGGCTGATTGAGCTTGACAACCCTTCTTCCGAAAGCTGCCCTTGCTCTCTAAGCTAGTTGCACCTATTTTCCAGCTCCTATTGTCTTGGCCCTGCTACTCTTTCCTTCCCCACACCTCTCCATTTGTCCCTTCAGCCTCCTCTACTCCTCCCCTTGGTGCCCAGCTCCTGGGCAGGGGCACTTATCCCCTCCCAGGGCCCCAGTGCTGCAAGGGGGTGAGGTGGGGAGCGAGGCGGGGGGGCTGGGTGTCAGTCTGCCTCTCTCTGTCCCGCTCCAGGTTATGGGTTTACACAGGAAGAGCTGCTCTCACCGGCATCCATGCAGTACAGCCTGCCCTCCCCGCTGGGTGCTGAGCCTTACTGGCAGGAAGTTTCAAGTCTGGACTGTGCTCCCATTGCCACCACAGAAGAAGACACCCTGATGGAGATGTCTGACGTACAGGTGTGGCCATCAGGCCACAGCCCCTCCCTGGTACCCATGGAGGACTCTTCCCTGGAATGCAGCAATGCCGATGACTCAGAAGGCCTTCTGGGGCTACCGCATGGAAGTTTGGGTCGACCAGCCAGTCAGGCCAGCGCAGCCAGCGGAGGGGGTGGGATGCTTAGTGGCTCCATTGAGCTACCAGAAGATGATTCAGAGATGGGCGTTGACTCACTCAGCACTGCCACACCAGCCTCGCTTGGGGGTACCATTTCTGGAATCAATCTTAATGGGCTGAACAATGGTCAGGGGTCAGAGGCAAGTTCAGAGACATCAGCTGTCACAAATACAACTGGTGGAGATGGAGCTGGAGGAGGGGGAGGACGAGAAGGCGGGACGGGCTCAGAGGAAGGACTTTCTCTTGTTGCAGGGCAGCAAAGGGTATATGCTCGATTGAGTGAGTCACCTGGTCTGAGCTGTGTCGCAGATCGGAATGGAGACAGGTTAGTTGGACCTCTGTATGTCTCTCAGAGTGGGAAAAGTCTCATTAGAGCTATAAATCCCATTTACCTTATTGCATGAGAAGGTGGTGACCAAAAGGTTCTGAGAGTTGTTTCTCTTTTATAAGTAAGTATAGAAGAATAGTTTATCTACTACCTCCTCATTTATCCTTTCAGGTCAGGTAATAGTGGAAACGGAGGTGGTGGAGGCTCTTTCCTTTCCTACCTGCAGGAACAGTCAGGCCCAGGGTGGATCCCTGTCACTGACCCGACTCAGAATTGGGTTGGCACGCAGTCCAAACCGAGGCAGGCAATGGAGTCCATGATTTCATCGGTACACAACGCTTTGGGTGAAGACCAATCCCCAATGTCCCAGGAGTCCCTGCTTCAACCTGTGAGGGACATGGGGCACTCCGAGATCTTACGGGGGCACTTCAGAGGTACCCAACCTTTCGAGAAGGGCTTGGGATTTCCGCACAGGGTTCCAGAGCTGAGAGCCTGGGATGACGTACGCCTAAAGGGCCAGGTGAGTGTATCATTAGTCCCATACTAGAAGACCCACATGGACTCTAATATGAGTATCTTTATTTACATCATAAAGCTATCTACTGTATTCGATCCAAGATTAAATACTTTAGTGACAGAAATAAAAACTTAAAAATGCAGTTGACCAACTGATTCCTCAGTGTCCTCAGAGCTCTAAAACAAATCAAGTATGAATCAAGTATGAATCACTTCAGCTTTGTAATGTGAGTATAGATTACCGTCTGAACTTCTCTTTTTGTGGGATGGTCCCAACACTTAATGACCACAGCGCTGATATAATGATATAACTATGCCATTTGTTTATTTTGAAGTCTTTCACTTTGTGGTGTAAGAATGAGAACAATCAGACAACGCGTTTTAAAGGTACAGTTAGCATTGCACAGACTCCAAAGCTGGCAAGAGCAAGAACTTGTATAGAAAAACATTATATCAGATGTGTGCGGCTGTCTCCTGTGATCCTCAGACAGTAAGGTTCATCAGAAATTACGGTCAGGCACAGCCTGTAAGTCAGTCGAATGCCAATCCTTCCTGTTGTCAAAATCTGCAGGGTCATCTCTTTGAATGCATTATACCAATGCCCCTGGGGGTAACTGCCTCTGAATATTTATTCTTCTTATACTTTTTGATGAGTCAAACTGTTGGTGTCTTTCTTGTTCCTCTAGAAGTGTACAACCACATCAAAAGACACAATCACACACTCATATACACACACTCAGGGTCTAGTGCCCAAGATGGGCACAAACATCATGTCCAGCCAAATATAGAAAGCATTCTCACTCCCACACTAATGTAATATGATCTGCACCCCACTCATTCCAGCACCTTAACTTTCTGGCACAAGAGAGATACATCATACTGTAAAGGACAATTTAAGCAAATGTAAAGTTACATTCTGGACTTCTGTAGATTTTATACAGTGTGCCTAAAATTGGGATTAGAGAGTACATATCGTGTTTGTTGGTAGGCTGCATTTAAAAAGAAAGATGATAGTATTTTAAAGAAATATGCTTGCCCGGGCGTTTACATTACAGATAATGAGAAGTATTATTTAGTGAATGTAACATTTATGCTCTGTAAAGAAAACCAGTGGTGTCTGCAGCATTCAGAGCCATGTAGGAATAGCATGAGGTATTTAAAGCCCACAGATCACATGGTCAGAATGAGAGATGTGTGAACAGAAGCCCCCTCAGAGTTGCCTTTGGTTGGATTTGTTGCCTTTAACTAACTATTAGCTTCAAGGAAAGGAGAAAAAAGGTGGTCAACAGGGCCCACAGCCCCAGCTGATGGAGGACAGATATGATCTGAAAGGCACAGCACCATTTTGACTGACTCGGTGACAAAAAGCTGAGGGCTGCAGCTGTTACCTTCTCTCTGAGCTGAGAGAAGCCGTGTGGCCAAAAGGAGCTCCTGAAGGTTGACGGGCTCAAGCTGCCGTCGTGCATTGCTTTGTGTTGGAGTTTTAATTTGGATCAATGTGGGCTCTGGTGACTGAGCTGTTCTTCAGCTTCGTGCTGCTGGCTTTCCTGGTAATCAGCTGTCAGAACGTCCTCCACATTGCCAGCGGCACTGTGCGGTCCGTGCTCACCTACATTCATGCTCAGCTGGACCACGAGCTCGGTGAGATAGAAGGAATAGCTGATGAAGAGGAGAACGTAACCACCAGGGTGGTGCGCCGCAGAGTCATTCTCAAGGTACAATAACAAGGCAGATGAGAGACACACAAAAACTAACCAGCCGAAAGAGCAAGAGGAATTACTGCTGGACTCAGTTACCTCAGTAAATAGTTACCGTAATCAAGAATAAGGGATTAGTGGCAATTGGAGTAGATGATTTGTCATATTTCATTGCAGTTGGCTGGAGGGAGACAGATGAATTACATAGAGGATTAACCAATGACCTTAAAATCAGGAGAGAATATCTATGATTCTGCATCAAATTGATACAAGGATAATTAATAGATTTAGTCTGGGTAGAGAGTAATATCAACTGTTTCTGAAAGTATCTTGAGCTCTTGTAACTGTAGATGTTGTAGATTGTTCTCGGTTCAACAGATTTAGACAAGTCCAGTGAAAATTTTAAAAAAGGTTTGTAAGCTTTGTCCTATTTTACTACAGATTTCATTCAACTTTCATCATACAAATCTTCTCTCATCACGCTGAACTTCTATAGTTTTTTCCAACCCCATTCAGACTCAACTGTGTGCCCTTTCCCTTTGTAATGTCCAGCTGCATGCCTTTCTGTTCACTTTAAATAGCTGTGTGGACAAGCTGCAGATTAGCAAGGGCTATAACTGCATTAGCATGAACCTCATGATCTGTAATTATAAGTGTGAAAATAAGTAGTCTGCAGGATCCCAATTGCTCCCACAAATACTCTTCAAACCCCTGAAATATGTGTTTACCTCTGAGTATCTGTATGTTCACTCTGTGTGGAAAAATGATCTGTTTCTTTTAAAATGAACTGATAGCTAAATGAGTTAGTTGATCTATCTGTCATTTGTCTGGACCCGTCAGCGACCCAACGAGTCAATCACAACATGAAAGGGAAGGCTTCACATCTGATCTTACAGCTGAAATTCCTTAATTCTTACAGCTGCAATGTTAAACTTCTACCAACAGCTCTCTAGCCTGTGCAATGTGAATGATGCAACATGGTAGTGAAGATGCCCATGTAACCTATTTAGTCAGTTGTTTATATTATATTTAAATAAAATGAAAATACATAAAAAGGTCAGTTCTGTACAATATCCTAATATTGTAATATTCTGAAGGGGTTACATGCTCCAGGTTCACAGCAGATGAAGAAAATGTAGTTCATGTGTTCTTAATTTAAAAAGTGTGATCCAATTGTTTGATTTTCCACAGGGTGACGAGGCTGAAGATCTTCCTGGGGAGCAAGTGAGCGAGGAGCAATTCACAGATGAACATGGAAACATTGTCACGAAAAAGGTTAGAACTGTATTCTAATTTCCTAAAGAAATTGACTGTTTTTGTTATTTCACTGTCACTGCACTCACTTAGCATCTCCCCACAGAAATGATTATTAGACTAATAATCAGTACTCTTTGTCAAACCAGACCATCACCCGGTGGATGTGTTTGTTTTTTTAAGGCTATTCCTTCATAACGTTTGCACATCTTTTCACTGTCATACCCCCTGTTTCCACTCATCCATCGCTCTTCTGTGTGTGAACGTGTATATATGTATGACAGATTGTGCGGAAGGTTGTGCGCAGAGGGCAAGGTTCAAGTGAGGAAGGGGTTCAGGAGCTGAGCGTGGAGGGTTCTCTGCAGGATGCCAATGAGCTGGAGGGGGATACTGAGCAGTACATGAGCTACGCCATCCTGGGTCGGGACGGCAGCAAGGTGGGCTTCTGACCGGCCGGCTGCTGTGTGTCTCACCTCAGGCTCCCGTTATTAGCTGCAGGTCATGCAGTGAGGCTTCAGAGCTGATATCAGATGAAACGGCTGAACACCATTTGACAAGACCACACTTTACTTGATTAAAAAAAGCAGTAAGGCCATGATGTGTTAAGCTAAGAGTGTGCAGTAATCGTTGACATAGATTTCCAGACATCCATAACAGTATTTAGATACTTTCACCTCCGTAACCACATTTAGTTTAGGATGACTTTTAACGTATTGTGTCAGAATTAAATCAATTGAGAGGATAGAGACGTGTGTGTGTGTTTGGTTAAATGCATGATTTTTGCACTTTTCCTGTAATGTAAATCTCCACACAAATGTTCCTGTCTCATATTCATCTTGTGTATGTAAGAAGAAGAAGAGAGTTAACATCAGATGCTCTTCTTGCTTTGGGGCTCTCAGCCCATTAGCTGACTCAGGGTTTCATTATCCCTGTCATCACTAAGTCATCCGAAGTCACTGCTGTTTGCTTCTGGTGCAATAATGACTGAATGTAATGACTGCAGTCTCTTCTAGGTGTCATGATTTCAGTTCCCTCTTCCTTCACTGGTTACATCAATGAGTGACTGTCCTGTCTTCTTTCCTTCATTAAAGCCTCTAGTCAACTGTGACTGTGTGCCTTATCACTCAAACCAATATTTAGCTAATATTTCAGACACTTGGGTCCACAAGAATATATAGCTCAGGTGGTGTGTATTGTCTTTATTTGATTGTGTAATGTCCATATGGAGCTTTTTCGAGTCATTCAAATATCAATTTTTTTTACATCACTCTGCATCACAAATACAGTGTCTTACTTGTCTCTCCAAGTGTCAGCCACCACTTTTGTCCTTGCTTGATTGTTTTGATCTCATTTCTTTCTTTTTCCCCCTCTCTTTCCTCTGTCGCTCATTCTTCTCTCACATTTCTATTAAATCTCCTGTGTTGTTTTCCCTGTTTGTTCTCTCTTTTCTTGTGCCTCTATGGTCTCTCCCCGCTGATGTATTTCTGTTTGTTCTCATCTCTCTGCCTCTATACCCTTGTCCTTTATTTTACTCTCCCTTACTAATATTTCCTCAACTTCGTGTTCCTGTCATCGCCACGTCTTCTGAACCCACGCACCTCCTCTGCCATCGACTCCCTTACCCCTCCCCACGGTGTAGCCCGATTCTGTGGATGTGAAGAAAGGTGCTCAGATAGTGAAATGTGCCAGTCTGCGGAGAGTTAAGCAGTGAGGCAGACTGAGTGCTGCGTCCCCGCAGGTACGGGACTGCCTCATCTGACCAGGGGGCAAAATCATTTAATCCAGTCTCTCTGGATTAAATGCATTTGAATGTAAAATTGATTCAATACTAATGGTATGTTAAGTGATGCTGGCAAAGACAAATGTCACGTAAAAAATTAACAGAGAAGCAAACACAACAGAATTGTCGATGACAATTTTTGTATGGAGTCTGTTTGCACTTTTGATACTCTCTGAAGTTAACAGTCCTATTATTGATTCAGCTGTCATGACGAGAGAAGATTTATAGTTTGGCATCTTTGATTATACAAAAGAAACTGCAACTGCTTCTGCAAGTGCTTTGTTATGTTCACATCACAGCCTGGAGTTATATTTGAGATTAAATAACTCTACTGGATACACCATACATTTTTACACTTGATACCAGACTCATAAAGAAAAGAAGACGATCATCTCTATGTAAAATATTTTTTCCACTCAAGTGTCCAAGTCGGCACTCATATAAGGAGCACAAATATAAATCTCTAAGTTTGATCCAAAAAAATCTTCAAAGCTGTAAAGAATTGTATTGAGTCAGTTGTTTTTCCTCATGCAAGTTGTGACATGGCTGGCACAATGTGCAGTCAGCAAAACCAAAGAGCAAGACAGATCTTGTAAAGTGACAGTTCTCAAGGACAAAGCTGGGAGGCCAGTTGTCCAGAGAATTTGAGCCACCTCAGTACGGCTGTGTGTGAGCGTGTGTGTGTGTTTGTGTGCGTGTACGTGTGTGTGACTTGCCCTTTCTAACGTTAAGGCCATGACATTCCTAAGATTACTAATGTTTCAAACGACTCACTGCATGTTTTATCTGCTTTTGCCAGCAATATTTAGCTGAAATGCTGCAGCAGGGCAAAATGTTTTTCGTCTGTTTGTGCTAGAAAAGGAAATTGTTTGTAACATGGAAAAAAATCTGTTGAAATCAGTTTAAAAGAAGACAGTTTGGCCGTCCAATATGTCAGGTGACTGAAATACTCCTTTCTGCTTTAATGCTTTCCAGCTTGCTGTGTCACTTGTTGTGTGGGATATGAAAACATGTGACTCGACTCTAAATTGGTCAATTTCTGTCATTCCGCAGAGTTCTCCACAGGATTCAACCCCTTCACCAAAATCATCCTACATGGACACATGACCAGCAGCAGCTGACCGAAGGACGACCACACCTGAAAAGGCAGACAAATAAAAATAACGACCCCAACAGAACGATGACTACAGCAACTATGCCAACAATCAGCACGTACCAGAAGAAAAACTATACAGATCTACTTGTAGTTTTTATTACTTTTTTTTCCTTTTTTTTTTAGAAACTGTGAGGGGGAAAAAAAAATTATATACTGCTCGGCTAGAAGCATGATTTCATATAAAACAAAAAACAAACACAAACAAACAAACAAAAAAAGAAAAAGCAACCAAAATGTGCTTCCTGTTATCTGTATCAGCATGAGTGACTGCTGCCGCATGGCCCGTCTTTAACTACAAATAATGGGGGATTACAGGGGTGGGTAATGGGTTGGGATGGGACAGGCATGCAGTGTAGGTTTTGGTCAATCACTGAACCATTTTTTAAACTAATGGAGAGATGTTTATCAGTCAGCTTAAGAAAAAAAAAATAAGATGATCAAACTGAAAACCACATGATCTCCAGGCAGCAGGATGTCCTTGTATGCCACACAAACTAGTTTCACACCTGTCCCAGTGCTCTCTAAGTCCAGTAAAGCTACACTTATCACCCAATGATATCAGTGTTGTACATAATATTTTATGCACTAAAAGGCTCTACGTGACTGTGTGTTACGCGTGTTGTTTATGTTCTAAGATCCCTATGCGATGCTACTGATGCTGCTGTTTCAGGTACACAACAAATTTGTTTTCCGCGTTCGGTTCGTTGGGTCAGGACCTACATGTTGTTCTATATATCCTGAGATCTTTGTGGGCACAAGAACATATAAAAATGGTGTCGCTTTTCCTGTGTTGATTGTTGAATCTATGTGGTTGTTTTGGGGTTTTTTTCTCGTGCTTCTGCTGTGCTTTCATCCTTTGTTTCAGACATGGAGATGTACACAAATGAACTGTCACCTACTGGACTGTGGGGTTGTTGAGCTTTGGGAGGCAGGTTCACTATAGAGACCTGCCTCATCCTTTGGCTGAAAGGTTTACTTCAGTAAGAAGGTAAAAATGAAAGCTATAATGATGGCTTATCTAGAGACATTAGGCTACTCTACCATCCCACTGTTCTGCCTTTTCTTGTCCACACCATGCTGTATAATAGGTTTGCATTAACGAGACATCCATCTCAACCATTTATTTCAATACCACATCTCACCCCTGCAGTCAGCCAGAGTAGATGTAGCATTCCTGTCCTCAAACAGGGAGGAAGGAGCCCACCTTCAGCTGTCTGTTAACCATTTCATGATGTTTTTGACGCCGTCACACGAGGTGCACTTACTGATCATCTCTCCACACACCTGAAGATGTCACTTGATGAGGTAGCCAAAACGCTGGAAATAATGTAGCACTGGTTCCACAGGGCAAGAGATGAATTGACTATCATGTCACGGGTCGAGGTGGCGTTGAGCTTGGATGTTTGTCTTTTTGGCAGTTCTTTGAACAGTGGCAAAGGCAGTCGGTCACCAAACACTGTGATGCAAAACTGTAAAACTGACCCGTAACTGTGAGCCTGGCCTGTCCCGAAGCATGTCGTGTTTCTTTCGCTTTACTTAAACCTCTTTTTTTTTTCTTCTTTTGTCGCAATTTACTGTCTTAACCGTTGTTCAGAAGAAGCAATAACTGCTTGTCAAAGGAAAGGGTTGTTTGTATGGGAGTACTTGTGTGAAAAATGAGGCATGATTTTGAGATCTTGGCTTCTGTTCTTCCTCAGCTTGGACTCCCAGTCTGTTAAGCACAGCTTTAGACTCCTCGTCACTCTTCTCAGAAATGATGTCAGCACATTGTAACAAATATATTTACTTTTGTGTCAGTAAAAAGGAACAACTATTGTTGCGCTGGTGTGAATTCATATCAGCCATCTGCAAAGTGCCCAATGTTTGATTTTGTTCATCATCTGGGAAAGTTGGTGTGTTCAGTCACTTTTTAGACTTTCATTACATTCATAGGCACCTTTAAAGACATGAATGTGTGTGTCCACAGATGTCTGTGTATGTGTGTAAATAATTACTTAATATAATCTATTCAGTCCTGTACAACAGGACATGTCAAAGTTGTGATGACACTCCATACTACAAAGACTATACATATACTTCTTAATCGCTTAGTTTTTTTTTTTCAAACAGTTGATTTACCTCAATATCTGTGCCATCTCAAAATATATCAATCATCTACAGGCATTTCAGTGTTGTGTCAGACAATAAATGATCACTAAAGTAAAGTATGTATGCCACAAAAATGCAATAAGCACCCATCAATAAGTGTTTAGCACGGCTCCACAGCCAGAGATGATGAATGTAAAGTCTTGGTAAACTGTGAGTCTTGTTATGAGGTAGTTAAATGTGTCGGCTCTATATTTCAGTAGATCATAGGGGTATTCACTTTGTTGTTTCAACTTAATATCTGCTGTCAATTAGCATACATATTACTTCATTGTCATTTAGCGACAAACATACACAGTGGAAAGTTTTCAAGAGTGGAGCTTTACAAAAGTTTAGATGTTCTGGCAAATGGCCCTTCATAAGCTCTTATATTATTTCTATTCTCTGTTCTGTTAAATGCTTATGTTAGATGTCAGTTTACATGACTCAGTAGTGTATGATTTGCATAATTCAGATTAATGCCATTTTAAGCAATACAGAATAATAAATGTTTCACTGACAAGTGTAGATATGAAATAAATTCTGAAATGAAGAAAATGTAAATATACAGATGAGTTAATATCGTTCAGTGAATATTTCCGGAAATAATTTTATTTTTTCTAAAAAAAATAATTTTTCACAGGATTTTGTTTTCTTTAATTTGGGAATATTCCTTGATTCATCATCTCATATGGATTTATTTCAGGAAGTTTTTATTTTATAATGCATTGTTTAGCTCCAATCTCTTTTTTGTATTTTGTAGAACGAAGAGTCAGTGAAGACTGATTAGAATAGAAAGCTGAGTAAAGTGAACCAACCCTAATACAGAAACTCAATGGTAGGTGGTGTTTATTTAAGGTAGTCTGTTATTCATACCCCTGTGTTTGGAAATTAAAAAATCTAATATAAAGGTAGCAATCTATCTATCTATCTATCTATCTATCTATCTATCTATCTATCTATC